TGGGGTCTTCTTTTTTGCTTCACTGGACGGATCTTCAGGTCCAAGCTCAGTTTATGGGTGGTAAAAGCATAAATACGATCGATAAAAGCATGTTTGACCTCGGACCAAGCGAAACAATCCATGTTAGTTATAAGAAATTGAATAAGCTTTTTCCTGAGCTCGGGTTTTAACCCCGTGCCTAGGTATACCTTTCGTTCAGGCAGATGTTCGGTTAGTATGATTTGCTCCAGCTCTTCGACCGTTGATTTGGTAGCGTCGGAGTCATTGGAGATTACGAAGGATCGAGGTCTTATAATCATCATCTTCATCAGTCACCTATTTCTCTAGCTGGGTCGAGGATGGCGTTTGTGATTGCTATTTGGCCTCATGTTTTCCATTCGAATTTGACCCCTTCATAGATGAGAGTGTTGATATCGGAATCAATTCGTCAACGGCAAACATTTCTTTTGCAGCGGGTTGCTCCCCGTAGACTGTTTTGATTCCCTCTGTTGTTGGGAATTTTAGGACCCGGTGAAGATTCGAGGGCACTGCTCTCATGTTGTGGATCCATGGTCTCCCGAACATGGCGTTATACCTCATGTCTCCCTCGATCACATGAAACTTCATCTCTCGGATGGTCCCGGCCACGTTTACTGGCAAAGTTATCTCGCCCTTAGTGGATTCACATACCATGTTGAATTCGTTTAGTACTCAGGTCGCGGGCACGACTTGGTCTTGTAGATCGAGTTGTTCTATGACCCTCGATCGAATGGTGTTGGCCGAACTACCTAGATCAATTAACACACGTTTAACTTGAGTCCTATTCATTAGTACAGATATTACCAGTGCATCATTATGGGGTTGTATGATTCCTTCTACGTCTTCGTCGTTGAAGGACAGGGTTCCTTTCGGTATGTAATCCTGAGCCCGAGATCGTTTTTCCCTTGTGATCGAAACCTTAGTGCATTTTAACACTTGACCTTGGGGAACATCGATCCCTCCGACAATCATGTGAATAACGTGTTGCGGTTCTTCTTGCTTATTTTTCTGTCAAACTACCTGTTTTTGAAATGATTATTGGCCCGATCACTTAGAAACTCCCGAAGGTGCCTTTCATTGAATAACAGGGCTACTTCTTCTCTCAATTATCTGCAATCTTCCGTTCTGTGGCCATGGGTGCCATGATACTTGCATACTTGATTGGGATTCCTCTGGGCTGGATCGGTCTGCAGAGGTCGGGGCCATTTAGTATCCTTGATGCGTCCTATAGCGGATATGATGGCGGATGCATCAATATTGAAGTTATATTCTGATAATCGTGGTGCTTCCTTAGGTCCGGTATGCCTATCGAAACCATTTTGCTCATGAGCCCTCGAGAGCTCTGGCCTCAATCATTTCTCCTTACACCTCGCGCGGAGTTGTGCCCTGGCCCGTTGCCCCTACGATCTCTATTATATGGCTGGTATCGATCCCTGTTCGACCTTGGTTCTCGATCAACGTCCCTTTTGGTAACAGACTCGGAAGGAGCCCTCAGCTGGTCGTCTTCCACTCTAATCTTCAATTGATATCGATTATGTACATCGGCTCAGGTAACAGTCGGGTACTCAATCAAGTTCTGCTTCAACTGTTGTGAAGCCACTGAGCTTCGTTCATTTAGTCCTTGAGTGAAAGCTTGAACGGCCCAGTCATCGGCGACCAGTGGTAGATCCATTCGTTCCATTTGGAACCGAGACACAAACTCTCTGAGCATCTCATTATCTTTCTGCTTTACCTTGAAAAGGTTCGACTTCCTAGTCTCGACCTTTATGGCTCCTGCGTGTGCTTTTACAAAAAAATCTACAAGCATGGCAAAAAAATCAATTGAGTTAGGTGGTAAATTATGGTACCATATCATAGCTCCCTTTGACAGGGTTTCCCCGAATTTCTTTAGTAACACGGATTCGATCTTGTCGTCCTCTAGATCATTCCCTTTAATGGCATACGTGTAAAAGGTGACATGATCGTTGGGGTCGTTTGTTCCATTATACTTAGGAATCTCGGGCATGCGGAACTTCTTGGGGATCAGTTTAGGAGCCGCATTCAGGGGGAAGGGCTTTTGTACGAGCTTTTTGGAATCCAAACCCTTCAATATTGGTGGTGCCCCCGGGATCTGATCAACCCTGGAGTTATAAGTTTCCACTTTCTTGTCGTTTGCTTCGATCTTCTTTTCCCCTGACTCTATCCGCTTTGTCAGTTACTCGAGCATTTTTATAATTTCGGGGTTAGTCTCCGATTCTTATTCATTTGACCTTACCACAACTGGCCCCGTTCTGTGGGTGACTTCTTGGGGTGGATCGGGCTCAGCCCTGCTCGGTGCCTAGGTTTGGCTCTACAACTATGCTATCGCCACCTGTTGAGCTTGCACCATTTCGAAGATCATTCGTATGTTGATCCCGTATTCTCCGATATTTTGGGTATTTCGAGCCGCAGATCGGGTTCCACTATGGACGCTGTTTTCGGGACCAGTATGTTGATTCGCGTCGATGGCCACATGTGAATTACCGTCAATTGGATCCACAGCCCGAGTCCCAACGGGGTCAGTGGGTGGCCTTACATCACCGGGCGTCATGTTGTTATTCTCAACTTGATGGCCCAATCCGTTGTCGATATGCAAAGGCAATAATTGAGAGTTCGTCATTCTTAGCCTGAAATCAAAGACACTTCAATGAGCAAGTGTAAAATTGTGTGTTTTATAGAGATTTGTATCAAATAACCACTATTCTCATTAGCCCTACAGTGGGCGCCAAACTATTTACCCGAAAAATGGATAACAATTGAATTTATACGCGGCTCTAAGGATACGTGATATAATTTGGTACAAATTGAGAAAATATATAAATTAGTACTGAAATTAACTATAAAAGAAATAAATGCAAACCAAACGAATCAATTAGTCTTGGCCCTCAAGTTCAATCACCCTCGAACTAGGTGAAGACTTCGCTGGTATATGAACAGAATAACAGAATAATGAAGCGTAAATAAGGCAATGTATTATTTTTATTGCATAAAAAATGCTCTACCCTCTACAAATGACCAGACCCCCTTTATATAGTAGGGAAGTCCTACTTTGAATATAATTCTAAATACAGTAAGGAATCCCATGATAGATTAATTAATTGACCTCTCCTTGATATGCGTTGGGATTTCTGCCGAGATTCTCGCCCAATTACGGATATTCCGACTTTCTGTTTTTTGGCTCGATAAGCTTTCCTCGATCTTGAACGGTCTCTCTTTTGCTCGATCTCGATCTTGGCCGATCTCGATCTTGATCGATCTCTCTTTTGCTCGATCTCGATCTTGGCCGATCTCGATCTTGATCGATCTCTCTTTTGCTCGATCTCGATCTTGATCGGTCTCTATTTTGCTCGATCTCGATCTTGGCTGATCTCGATCTTGATCGATCTCTCTTTTGCTCGATCTCGATCTTGGCTGATCTCGATCTTGATCGATCTCTGGGTCACGAGCCTGACAATTTAACTTCGCATCACGGCTCGATATCACATGAGGTTGAACCTTGGTCTATCATGTTCTAGTCTCGATTAGTCATACGAAGGGCAAACTCGGTTTTGATCGTATACATACATAAAGTTATGCCATCTCCATTTCTTTATTGAACTTTTCTTTTTTAATATCCTTCGCCTTATATGTTGTATATATTTCCTTCAAGTGAAGTTGGGCCCTCCTCAAGAACAACATGGGCCTGACTATGTTGAACTAGGGTTCTTTACACAAATAACCAGACAAACTTATTGTTTATTTTTTCTAGCCAGTGTACTTAGATTATGCATTGGTTATACAAAGTCATACATATATTATGCATGAATTATACTTATATTATATATTCTATTGTACGTGGTTATTTTTAGTTTAAGCGATTGGATTGACGACTATTTAGGTTAATAATTCTTCATTGAAAACAATAGAACTATATTGGGCCCAAACTTGTTATGAAGAAGTTGGGCTTTTGGTAACTGGTCTATTTACAGGGGAAAAAATCACAAATAGCCACACTTCAGCTCCTATAATTGAAAAATAACCAGGGAGTTTCAAGTTTCATAAATGAAATTCCAGCGCATTGTAGTATTTGAAACTCTAAAATAGTGACTATATACTTTTTAAAGACAGGGTCGAAGGGTTGCCAGTGGGTACTATTTCTACCCATTTACCGTTTAAGACAATATTCCACAAGGCCTCTTTCATAAGGAACAAAAAGGAAAAAGAAAGAATTGCTGTGCCTACTTGTAATAGAAACATGCTTAAAGATTAAAAGTAAAGAGTCTGGTCGGAACTAATCCAACAGTTTGGGCAATTCCCTTGTTCTTTATTCATTTCTTTTACTGATTTGAAAGAAAAGACTTTAAACTTCAAGCCAAATGTAAAAATAAGTTAACTAGTTAGATTGAGATTTTATAGGAAGGGCCTCAAGTTATGTGAGATAGCAAGCTAAGTTCAATCCACTAGTTAGAAAAGGTTTAGCACCTCTTCTAAGAAAATTCATGCAGGTAAAACTCATTCTACTTTGCCTTGTCCTTGTTTCTTTTTCCATTGTAAACTATAAATTTGAAAATTTACCTGGCATAGCCTTTTATTATCAATTTCTAGTGAATCATGTCAGTTTTATTACTCACATGAGAAAATAAACAGGGGTGCCTGTTTTGCTAACATTCCCACAATCAGATTATACCATATTATATCAATTCAAAGAACATGCAGAACCTTAACTACATATCTTGAAATCTTTTCAAGTTTTGATCTTACTCTGCACTCTAAGATTAAAGTACTGGAAAACTTTGTGGAGAAACCACATGACATAAGAGTAGCTTTACATTGACATGACTCTCAAGCAAAGCCATTCCATCACATGATTTCTCTCTATTTTTCTTTCTCTTCAAAAGAGGCCATAACGCGGGGGCAAGTATTTGGTATTTATCACATGGCAGCTGCCATTATCAATATTAATAGTTGATACTAATCACCACAAATTGCCAAAAGCATGAAATGAAATAGAATAACAAGTAGCGAACCCAGGAAACTCAACAGACGATGCTAGGTCTAAGCATGAAATGGTTTTACAGAGCTAAGCATAGGTAATTCGAATTAGTTACTAGTAATATACATTGCAAGTGGTAGTTGAAAGTCATCTTCAAGACCTGGAATTCATAGACTCTGTGGTGCTTTTGGATTGAGATGTTGCACTTGAAGTCTTGCTCTGAGCTTGTGAACTAGTCTGGCTCGAGGATGACTCAGTGAAGAACACTATGTGCTCATCGTTGTCTGCATAAACTTGAAGAGAGCGTGGGATAGGAGGCAAATTCACCTCCAAAACTCCTTCAAGAATCTGAACAACCTGCCCCATCGAGGGCCTTTGTAATTCATCATCTTGGATGCACCAACAAGCAACTTTACAGATTCTTGACACCTCCTCAGCGTCAGCAACTCTGTCCAGCCTATAGTCCAATAGGCTAAGAATGTCGCCTTCATCAGCTAATACACGTGCAGCCCAACTAGGGAAGAATTTCACTTTTCCATCTTGAGACTGCTCCGAGTTTCGCCTCCCTGATACGATTTCCAAAAGCATCATGCCATAGCTATAAACATCAGCTTTGGCTGTAATGGCCACCCCTGATATCCATTCAGGTGCAAGATAACCTCTTGTTCCTCTCATAGTAGTAAGCACTCTGCTAAAGTCGCGCCCAACAAGCTTTGCCAGGCCAAAATCTGCTACTTTGGGGCATAGTTGTGCATCAAGAAGGATGTTTTCAGGCTTTATGTCACAGTGTATAATGCAGTCCCTGCACTTCTCATGGAGATAAGTCAAGCCTCTAGCTGTCCCCAGCGCCACCTGGTACCTTGTTTTCCAATCCATAACATCTGACTGCTTCTCGGTAAAAAGATGTGAATCCAGGGAACCATTTTCCATGTAATCATAAACCAGCAGCTTCTTGTTACCTTCAGAGCAAAATCCACGAAGGCGTACAAGATTAACATGTTGGATTGTCCCGATTGTGCTGACTTCTGTTCGAAATTGCTTCTCTCCCTGGTTGATGCTATCGAGCCTCTTAACCGCAATAACAGATGAATCAGATAGTTTCCCTTTGAAAACAGAACCAAAACCTCCACCCCCTAACTTCTCTGAGAAATTTTTGGTAGCATGTTGCAAGTCTTTGTAACCAAATGCCACCAATGAACCCTCCACTGATTTTCCACTTCCAACAATATGCCTACGCCATCTCTGGAATACAACAAAAAGAATGCCTAAAAGGACCACTACGGCAGCAGCAGACCCCAGAGAAACACCAATTCCAATTCCCTTTTTACTCTTGGATTTTGGGATGTCAGATGCAGCTAATCTGACAAAGATTGTCTCGCCCTTACCCTCATTTTGTGAGAATTGCTGCATATCCAAGAGCTCGCTCTTCCAAACTGAGCACGAATTGTCATAAGCATAAGCAGTGCAATTGCAATTATTCAAGCAGGTTGATTGACATTCTTCAGCACTCCCGGCAGCAACAAGCTGAAATTGTTTGGGTACTTTCATCTGGGTATACATCCAAAATCCATCTTTCTCCCCATTAGCGTTGCCACATTGCAACTTCGTTTTCCTCTCACAGCCTCTAGAATAATCATTTTGAGTCCAATCAGCCTCTGAACTGTGCTTGAAACCATCCAAGCAATTACAAAAGGGCCGCAAGTTCTCTCGACAGGTAGCAAATGGCCCGCAATAAGCATAAACTTCACATTGTGATCTTGGTTGAGACCAGAACAGATTCCACTGATCTGAATTATCCAACCAATTGAGTTGCTTAATCTGTCCAGAGACATCCATAATGAATCTTGAAATGATAGAAGCATTATTAACAGAATATGTAAAATAGCTTTCATTCGGCTTGTCCTCATAGCTAAAATTGTAAATGAAGTTGGACCTCATTTCAGGCACCCCGCTGAAAATTTGGCCATTCCATGGTCCACTGGTCCAGTATTGCTCAGTTCTATTCCACCTTATAATATACTGGCTACCATTTGGATCCAGCTCAAGAGAAAACAACCCAGGTGAAGGATCTTCCAAGCTCTTCCATGAAGTAAGAAGCTGCTTTCTATTGGTAATTTTGTTGTAAGAAAGTTTAGAACCAGGCAACCAAGTATTGCCAGGGATATCAAAACTTTGCCAAAGTGGTGGTGTTGAATTAGACCCATCTCTCAAGATTAAATTACCATCATCCCGGAGAAATGCTACCACAGAATTGGACTTGCTGGAACTAATATTTGTGGACCAAATTGAAGTATTGGATCCATTAACCAGTACCAAATTACCATTCAAGATTTTTAGCTCTGCAGAGTTTTTATCAGAAACTGGTGTTTCCCTGTTTGCAACCCAAACAGGAGTTTGTTCGGTCACTTTTTTGTACCATATGCCTATGTAATAGTTGGAACTATTACCTGGTTTGAAGAAGCCTAGCACAAAGTTCCCATCTGAAGAGGAAATTGTTTGGTCTCCAGAGAGGGATTGATTTGCAGAGATGGTGTCAGCTCCTAAGGAAAGATGGGTTTTGAGAGAGAAGCATAAGTACAGCAAAGAAAGGAGTAAAAAAGAATTGTTTTTGTTGTCCATAGCTGCTCAGAGCTTACACAGAGGACAAAGATCTTATAGAACAAAGTAGATTTGCATATTCTTAGAAGTCATTCTTGAAGAATGGGTCAGTTCTTGAAAATGAACAACTTTCATATGACTGCTGGAAAAGAAAACTTTTGGTCTGGCGTCAAGTCAACAAGGCAATCCTAAATTGACTTTATCACCCTTAATCATCCCTCTCCATAATTCAAAATTAAATAAAAGGAAGAAATAACTGAATTAAAAAAATATTGTTTAACAGGACGACAAACTAATTTTCACTACCAATTAATGACGAAAATGAATTTTTCTACCATGTTTACATTAATTACTGTGACATTTTCTGGTGAAAATTTTACGTCAGAGTCTAAACAAATTCACAATCATATTGTTTAAATATTAAAACTTAACCCAATTTACCTTGTGTAAATTCCAATGAGAGGGTGAAAATATTTGATCAATCTGCTCAAATTTCTAGCGTGAGAACCCAAAACTAACCAAAATGCTTGGCGCGCCATAATTTCCAAATTAATAGTCCATAGCAGGACATAAAATATTCTATTGCCGATCTTGATCTAATATTATATTCCAGACAAATATTTAAATTCGTGGTACAACATCAAAGTTCAATTATGACATAGCTGAAATTGCGAAATGTTTCATTTAGAATGAGTCAAACATTAAAATGTGAATATGTTATTGATGCACAATATCATGAGGTGTGACTTTGTTTTTTCAACCGTCAGCAAGTCCTTGCATTTCATTTCACGACAAATAAATTACTTAATACTTAAAAGTATTTCTCTTTAAATGGGCATTATAGTCATTCTATTAACAAATGGGAAAACACAGCTGGAAAAGTCTCCCACGTGCTATCTATGAGGATGAAAAGTCAAGGTTGTAGATTTTTAATAGTCACCCATTTTTAATGGAGATTGTTCAAAGTTAAACATGTCAGTCACCTGGTTTAGCTAAATCCGATAATTCCATTGGACTAATACATCAACAGCATCAAAATTCTAACATTAGCATTTACCATTATTTCATAAGTCACTATCAAATTTGAATAAGTCTCAGCTACCCATTTAACTCTTAGTGGAGAACAACAAATGCTAAGCCAACAGCCTCTCAAGTGTATCCAAATATCCAGTACAGTAGTTTTTTCTTATACTAAATATCTGAAACACCAAATTATTTCTAATATCATTTTTGGCTGATCTGGAAAAATCAGTTTATTTTGAAAAGCATGAAAAGCAGTTTAGATTTGTCTAATTAATTTAAAAAATTCTTTTAAGCAGCAATTTGTGTTTGACCAAACTTTTAAAAAGTGTTTCTAAGGAGATTTTTCCTCAAAAGTGATTCTCAAAAAATATTTTAGAAAAAGAAGTTATTTTTTTCTGTTTCTATTCAAAAGCATTTTTTTTATTTTAAAAGTTTGGCCTAACACTTCAACTAAATACAAAAAGTGTTTTTCAGTTGGCCAAGCAGGCTATAAAACAACGCTTTAGAAATTGATATGTATTGATATAATTGATTTATGAAACCCCAAATTAATTGATTATATAATTGATTTACCAAATATCTGGAACACCAAATTATCATTAATCATTAATTGATTGTCCAAGAAAGCAATGAATACCTAGCAAACGATAAAGTTTAGGTTGCCTGGGCAGTACTCCCACAATTCATGGGCCAACCATTCACATCCACTTTCCCATTTCGTGCGAATTGGGTACAGATGAAGTGGACGATAAGAAATAGTACTAAATTGTTTTAACAAATGTTAATTTAGAATGAACAATTTAGGGGAGAATCATTTCACCATTTACTTTGATACTTGGGCTTAGTGATGTTTGACTATAATTCCATAGTTTCGTACATTATGTGTCTTGCATTTTACATGCTTTAATGATAAATTATACTTTATTTGTGCATAATGGAGTCTATTTTATGTGTAGGTGAATTGGAGATGAAAGTAGAGCAAAAATAATACTTAAACGTTGAAAGTGTGCTCGAGAACAGTGAAAAAGAGAGACCAGGCTTTAGCCTGGCGAGGCCAGCCAAATTCCAGGCGTTAGGCTGGCGACTCCAGGCCTAACGCCAGGTCCAATCCGAGTTTTGAATACTTAATTCATTTCGGGTTTGACTAGGACCCGGCCCACACGTTTAGGGTTTCTTCTACACATATAAATAGACCTAAAACACCACTTGGAAGGGGGTTCTATCAGCAGCCACATTTTTGGGCAGCTAGAGGCAAGGAGAGCTGGTGGAATCACCTCTTGGGAGTTAGAATCATCTATTTCTACATCTTTTCATCTTTACTCTGTATTTTAATTATGCAAAATATTTGGGATATTGTTACTATGAGTATGAGTAGCTAACTTTCTAATCTAGGGTTTTGATGGAACCTATTGAAGGATGATTTTCTTGTTATGTTAATATAGATTTGTCGTAGTATTTTCTCTATTTGTTCAACTATATTATTCTTGTGTTTGATTGAAGGGCTCTCAATTAGCTATGCCTATTTAGTATGTATTACTCGGGAGAGAGTTCATATTTAGGTAGTTGTTGAACAACATCACTCCTAAACGTATATGAGGAATCAATACGAAGGTTTAAAGGTGGGTTTAGGGATAACGAAACCTTGGTGCGATCTGAGTGAGCTGTGCTTAATGCTAGCTAGCGTAATTCAGGAGAATATGTCTAGTAAATTGTGGTAATTACTCGGGAGAGAGTTACGACAGTTAGAGTGCTCATGGTCGATAAAGAAGACTTAGGCAAATTTGTAGAAAACGTAGCGGAAAAGATTTCGACAATAGGAAAAATCACAACTCTAGACCTCCATAGTCTTGTATAGAATTTCATCCATGTTAGTTGATAATTTAACCAGTTTATAATATTTGCTAGTTAATTAGTAGAAATAAAAATTAAATCTTTATAACTAGAAAATTATTCGAACTTGTGTTTCTTTGCAATATTGAACAACTGTAGCTAAGCCTTAGTTCTCTGTGGTATTCGACTCCGGACTTGTAAACCGGATTATATTTGCAACGACCGCTTAGTCCTTTTTATAAGGCATAGTTGGGCGTGATCAAATTTTGGCACCGTTGCCGGAGAACTAACGGTTTAGTTGTAGGTGTATATATTTTAAAGAAATACATTGCTAGGTTGATAAAGAAACACTTATAGGCGTAGGTGTATATATTGCTAGG